GACAGAAGTTCCCCTCTGCTCTTGGCAGTGTGGGGTCAAAATCTCAAGTCAATCTATAAGGTTGTTCCTTATTTAAGATATATTGACTAATGTAATAATTTTGACATTGTGTTGTGTTATAATTGAATATATATTCTTAGAATAGGAATAGTCTCAGAATTAAATTAGAAAATAGAATATGATTATTTATTAGAAGAAGAAAATAAAAAATTTTCTTTGTAAGGTATATTTAGAAATAACTAGCAATGCACCACGTTGCACGTGATTAGTTTTTGTACATAAAAATTGATATAATATATTAGTTTATGTGCATCTAAATTAAATATTATCTCAAATTTATCAGACTTAATTTTTTATTACTTGTATTCTATTATAGGATTATGAAAACTTAGTATATTTCTAAAATTCGTTATTCTAACTATAAGAAAAAAATAGTTAAATTTCTATTTTTTTTAGAATTTTGTGATTGAGAGTAATTTTTTAGTAATGTTTGAGAAATTAAATTTTTTGAAATTCATTCGATTAAGATTTTACTTATAATTCCTTGAATAAAATAAAAGTAATTGTCAATATACTACTTAATTATATTGAAACTTTTATGTAATTAAGAATTAGTTAGATCAATTAGAATAAGATTTAATATAATACTCTATAATATATATTTTAAAACATATCAAAATTTTAAAAAATTCAAGTTTTACTTAAGAATAAACTACAAACTAATTTCACATAAAATCTTAATACAACTTAAATAGTTTATTGTAAACTAAAAAATTATACTGATGTAGCATAAATTAATTTTAAAAAATTATATATATAATTATTTTCTATCTTAGAAATAAAAGGGTTAAACTTTTTAAATAAAAAAAATAACACATGTATGCAGATAATGTTATCTTTGCATATGAGATGAGTTATATTAGATTAATAAAGTTTTTGAACTCTTTATTGAAATTATAATGATGCATATTTTTTAAAGATAATATAGTCAATCAAAAGTTTCATATAAATTAATATTTATATAGAGAGAATAAATAATTAAAAGAGAAGTTAGAGATAATTGAGAGATTTAAATACATAAGGAGATAATAGATAATTTAGATATTTAATTGTGAAAAGATAAAGTGGTCTTTATAACATTTTATAAGGATAAAATAAAGAATCAAAATTTTTTCATGTTAATGTATTTTTATTAGTAGTATAGATATAGATATATATGAACACTATAAAAATCAAGTCTAAAGACCTTATCGAATAAATAAATAAAAGTTATCATTGCAACTTAAAATTGTCCACGTGCAACGCACGTATGCATCAAGTAAATCACAACCGGTTATAACACTCACCCTTCAAAATCACTTTTAGTATCTTTGCTATATCACCTCAATTAGATTTGCCAATCTCAAATACTTGAGGAAGAAGCCTAAGTATTGCCTCATCAAGATCTGATGGGCAATTAGTTGCAGCAAGAACCATTATTCGAGCATTCTCTGTTTACAAAGTGAAAAAATTAATTTATCAATTTCATCACCAAATTTCTCAGCTAAATTATCCAACTAATAATAACAGTCAATACAAAGAATTCATTAAAAAGATAGCCTGTTCACTAACAAACAAAAAAAGATTGAGCATTTATAAGTTGTTTGTTCGTTGGGCAGCTTGGCATTTCATCAATGCAAGAAACTCAGTTTTCNGAGCATTTATAAGTTGTTTGTTCGTTGGGCAGCTTGGCATTTCATCAATGCAAGAATACTCACGATCTGTGGTAAAACCATCCCACAAATTCATAAACTCAGTTTTCATGTTTGTGATCACTTCATTCTCTGTTGCATGTCGCTGTCCCAAAAAAATGTCAACCTCGTCAATGAATATGATAGAAGGCTTGGATTTGTAAGCCAAAGTAAAAACAGCTGTCACAGCAAAAATTCCAATATCTTTGATAATCCAACGAATAGACCCATGGCTTTAGCCAACGATTATATGAATACACACTCAAATTGGATTTGCATGGGTTCCATGTGCATCTGATCAGAATATCATCCATTTATGTTTACAAAAAGCAAGTGCTAGATAGCTAGATTTAGTAAATTTTTTCTCAAAAAACTTTTTAGATCTAGCAAATTAAATCAGAACGTAACGACTTCTTATGACATAGATTACAACTTACAAACATAGGGACGACACACGTAATAAAATATAACAAACAATGATTCTTAAAACAAGACGTGACTATTGATTTTGCCATTAACATCATCAACACAACTCTATACAAGCTCAATTTCATTCTTTCTTTATTTTCTTTCCACATCCATGCTTACATAACCCAGTTTCTGTCTGTTGGGATGCACCGTGACCAAAGCATTTGTGCTTGCGATGGAGATGAACATCTAGGCCCATGGCAACAAAAAAAAAAAATGACCAAAGCCTAGGTAAACTTATAGAAGAGAACTAAAAATAATAGTTAATGAAAACTAATCACTCAAAATAAAGGAAAAAAAGAACAGAGACATTGACTATGTTAGAGAATAAAGATCAATGTTCAATTTCAAGAAGTTGAGAACTTAAACAGATTTTATTGGAAGTACAATCAATCAAGACAACTTAATTTTATAGAATTATATAGAATCAAGACAACTTAATTTGATAGAGGCCACTGCCAAAGAGAGAGATAAATGTAGAAGTTGATGGGTACAAACATGGATGCAGTTGAAAAAAAAATAAATGAAAAAAAAAGTATATAACACATGGTCTTAGAGTCCAACCTCTATGCTACCTGACTTATGCCTTAAAAACTCATCACAAATAAGTCGGCATCTCACATTGGACAAAAAAACCAATTTATTGGAGCCCAGAGAATAATATGCGAAGGTGTCAACTCATTTGGGATAGATTTTTTAGGATACAAATTAGCCAACATATCATTCATCATCTGTTAGTATTTATGTTTCTAAGCTCACTTAATTTGATAAATTCGCACCGGTTGATGTTGTTTTGAGAATAGTTTGGTCCAATAATTCAGCGACTACAACATAAAAAGTGGATGTCCTATAGTCTTAGAGGATATGCACTAGTATACTTAGTTCTTCTAGTCTATGTTATGTGGCCATTTCTCATTTTCAGTGTTTTAACATTCAATTGCCATCCAACAACATAGAAAATATACATATCCATCCATATTCATAAGCCACACATTCATAGTGCATGGCATAAAGAGTGAACATGTGATGGGGAAGGTAACATGATCCAACAACGAAAAAGTAGTTAACGTTGCATATATTTTTGTTGGTTCATGAGACAAATAATTCTTATTTCCGTTTGTTAAATTTTTAATCTAAAAGATGCATTTGTCCAATATTATATCTAACATCTATCAATTCACCACTTCCACTTCAAGATGTGAGAAGAGTCTTATAGGCCTGCACAAAGAGAGCGAAAAGGGTACCTTCTTAACTACATGACCCTTGTATCGCTCGTCAAACCACTTATAAAGTTGTAAAAATAAAGCTTTAATGAATATTTTTTTTCATGTCTAAATCTATTCTTGTTCAAAAATATGAAATGTAAAGAGAACGATGAAAACATGGCTACCTAAATTGATGCACTGTAATTAGAAACCCATTATGGAATACATATAACTGAAAAAACCAAGAAAATTACTAATCCACCTAGGAAAATTTCAACATGTACGGAACATGCCCAAGATGCTCCACAAGAGCATTGATTACTCGTCCTAATGTCAGCAAACTTTTGTTTATCTCTCCAGCTTCTCTTGCGCGACCCCTGAAAATTTTAAAATAAACATAATAAAAAGGAAAGAGATAAGAGAAAAAAACATAACCACGTTCGACCAGAAGAAACATTCCAAATCAAATGAAAATTGAAAGAAACTTACTACGTACCCAAAGACCCTTTTTAAGTTTTAACAACATCCACAAGTTTTGTAGGCACATTTAAGTGAACAATTACCTCTCTAGCACCAGAAAAATTTATGAGAAGTTAATAGAAACTAAATGCCCCTCAAACATATGAAGCAATCTTAGATGACCATATTTTTCAATAAGGGATACAACAAGCTACCTTCCCATAGGATGACAAATTAGCGTGATTGGCAAACTTAACATCACTATTAAGATCATTAAATTGTCAAGAGTGTAGCTTTGTTCAAATTGGAAGCATTAGATTTTAGAAGTGTCAAAGAACCCAATCATTCTTTTCGATCGTACAGAAAAAAAATGCAATAAATTCATAATGTAATTATGATAAAATGCTTAAGAATAACAATTTTATAATAAATCACTATTATAAAAAAAAAAAAAAAAGAATTGTCTAAAAGGCTCCCGGAGATACCTAAAAATGACATATTTTAGGAACTCAAATAGGGGTAAAATAAATCAATAATTTAGATTTAACAATAATTAAAATAAAAATTAATCATTCAGCATATGATTTGTTATTCAATTGAATAACCAATATAAAAAATTTTAATTTTCTATTTTATTCTTAATTATTATTATAAAGTTAATTGTACCCACATAATTTATTATCAATTGAATTATCGNTATAGAATCAAGACAACTTAATTTGATAGAGGCCACTGCCAAAGAGAGAGATAAATGTAGAAGTTGATGGGTACAAACATGGATGCAGTTGAAAAAAAAATAAATGAAAAAAAAAGTATATAACACATGGTCTTAGAGTCCAACCTCTATGCTACTTGACTTATGCCTTAAAAACTCATCACAAATAAGTCGGCATCTCACATTGGACAAAAAAACCAATTTATTGGAGCCCAGAGAATAATATGCGAAGGTGTCAACTCATTTGGGATAGATTTTTTAGGATACAAATTAGCCAACATATCATTCATCATCTGTTAGTATTTATGTTTCTAAGCTCACTTAATTTGATAAATTCGCACCGGTTGATGTTGTTTTGAGAATAGTTTGGTCCAATAATTCAGCGACTACAACATAAAAAGTGGATGTCCTATAGTCTTAGAGGATATGCACTAGTATACTTAGTTCTTCTAGTCTATGTTATGTGGCCATTTCTCATTTTCAGTGTTTTAACATTCAATTGCCATCCAACAACATAGAAAATATACATATCCATCCATATTCATAAGCCACACATTCATAGTGCATGGCACAAAGAGTGAACATGTGATGGGGAAGGTAACATGATCCAACAACGAAAAAGTAGTTAACGTTGCATATACTTTTGTTGGTTCATGAGACAAATAATTCTTATTTCCGTTTGTTAAATTTTTAATCTAAAAGATGCATTTGTCCAATATTATATCTAACATCTATCAATTCACCACTTCCACTTCAAGATGTGAGAAGAGTCTTATAGGNAAAAAAAAAAAATGACCAAAGCCTAGGTAAACTTATAGAAGAGAACTAAAAATAATAGTTAATGAAAACTAATCACTCAAAATAAAGGAAAAAAAGAACAGAGACATTGACTATGTTAGAGAATAAAGATCAATGTTCAATTTCAAGAAGTTGAGAACTTAAACAGATTTTATTGGAAGTACAATCAATCAAGACAACTTAATTTTATAGAATCAAGACAACTTAATTTGATAGAGGCCACTGCCAAAGAGAGAGATAAATGTAGAAGTTGATGGGTACAAACATGGATGCAGTTGAAAAAAAAATAAATGAAAAAAAAAGTATATAACACATGGTCTTAGAGTCCAACCTCTATGCTACTTGACTTATGCCTTAAAAACTCATCACAAATAAGTCGGCATCTCACATTGGACAAAAAAACCAATTTATTGGAGCCCAGAGAATAATATGCGAAGGTGTCAACTCATTTGGGATAGATTTTTTAGGATACAAATTAGCCAACATATCATTCATCATCTGTTAGTATTTATGTTTCTAAGCTCACTTAATTTGATAAATTCGCACCGGTTGATGTTGTTTTGAGAATAGTTTGGTCCAATAATTCAGCGACTACAACATAAAAAGTGGATGTCCTATAGTCTTAGAGGATATGCACTAGTATACTTAGTTCTTCTAGTCTATGTTATGTGGCCATTGCTCATTTTCAGTGTTTTAACATTCAATTGCCATCCAACAACATAGAAAATATACATATCCATCCATATTCATAAGCCACACATTCATAGTGCATGGCATAAAGAGTGAACATGTGATGGGGAAGGTAACATGATCCAACAACGAAAAAGTAGTTAACGTTGCATATATTTTTGTTGGTTCATGAGACAAATAATTCTTACTTCCGTTTGTTAAATTTTTAACCTAAAAGATGCATTTGTCCAATATTATATCTAACATCTATCAATTCACCACTTCCACTTCAAGATGTGAGAAGAGTCTTATAAGNTCGGAACGGAAATAACAATGATCAGGGGGTAATCGGAAAAGCTCCGGCTCCGGCGGTCACTTGAACGAGAATGGAGGACAAGCTCTTCGAGGAGGCTCTGGTGATGGTACCCGAGAGAGTCGCCAACCGGTGGCAACTGATCGCTGATCGAGTGCCGGGAAAGTCGGCCGCGGACATAATGGTACACTTTGAGGATTTGGTTCATGATGTTTTGGCGATCGAGTCGGACCTGGTCGAGTTTCCGAGTAACTGGGATGTGTCCTGTGGGTGCGAGACTGAGTCGAGCCCGAGTCAAATACAGTCTGGATCGTCGGGAAAGGTGGAAAGGAAGAAAGGAACTCCTTGGACCCAGGAAGAACACAGGTAAATAAATATCACGATAATTTTGTACAAGTTCATTCTTCGTTCCAATTGACAATCACTTATCTTAGCATGCATGTTTTCACTACAAAATTGACATGATCGAAATACGAAAATGGCCCCAAGAATCTGTTTGCCGGCGGAAACAAACTGGCCGGCCGTAAAAGTCCGGCTAACTGGTTCCGGCGGAACAGTGTAGAAGACGAAGAGTTCTACTGGGTTCTGGAGTTGGGGCGGTGGGGGTTTGGGTCTGTTTTTCTTAATTATAAGGGATAGGTATACTCAGACCCTCAGGTTAATATTACAGATTTATACGCTCGTACCAACTTACACCCTCGTCGTAAAATATATCCGTTAATTATATTTAAATCTTATGAAATTTGTGGATATAAAATACGTTGACCCAAGTTTAAAATATTATACTTAAACCAAAAATACTACAATCAAATATAAAATATAAAATATTTTAAATTTAACGCCCAAAATTCATTTTCTATTGTATCATTTATTGAAATAAAATCAAATATAAAAATTCAATTTTTTAAAAAAATTATAATTAATATAGAATTATATTGTCTATTAGAATTTAAGTCGTTTAAACGACCAAATTAAAATACCAAACTATCCCAATTAAATCTAAAAGACATTATGTCAATTACAATTTGATTTCTTGTTTAATTTTTTAGTTTTGTTCTAATAGACAGTATAAATATATACTATGGTTTTTTTTAAAAAAATTAATTTTTATTTTTAATTTTATTTCAATAAATGACATAATAAAATATGAATTTTGGATGTAAAATTTAAAATATTTGAAATTTTGTATTTGATTGGAGTATTTTTTGTTTAAGTATAATATTTTAAACTTAAAGAATTTAAATATTATATATCCACAAACTTTAGTGGAGTCTAAGTGTAATTTATTAATAAATATATTTACAACAGGAGTTTAAGTGTTATGCGTGTACAAAACTCAGAGGGTCTGTGTGTAATATTTTAAATATTAGCGAGTCTGAGTGATTAAGTAATAAACGTCAGGAGATTTGACTATAATTTTCTCTAATTATAAATAAACTGAAAGGGAATTAAGGTATTTTTGTGGCTATTTTTATGAATTGCTAAAAGGGTATGTGTTGGAGTAAAATAAAGTTGTTCATATTAAGGACTTAATCACGATACATTGGATTAATTATGAATTTTAATGCTAGATGGAGTCCACATCCAATGGTTGAATCGACTGCAATGGCAATTTGTTCTGGATTCTTTTGGTGATATATATATATATCTTAGCTAGGTTTAAGATTGGTCCAAAGAGTATAAAAGAAATGTAATATTTGTTCCTACATATATCATTTTTTTTTTGCTTAATGGGAACGAGGAAATTGAAAAGGGAGTTGAGATATTCCATGAAAATGTATTCTCTTTTTGGTTCCACGCATAGCAAAACGCCCTAAGCTCTTAGATCTTCTCAGCATCGATCCTAGTACAGAAAAAGGGAAAAAAAAAAATTCATTTTTTACTATTTTGTTGATATGATTGAGTTTCATGTTCGGCAGTGAACACCATTCATGATGATCCACATCTTAGAGTGTGATTTGCGTTTGGATGCTTGAGTTTTCCAAGAATTATATGGGATATCTAACTCAAGTTCAGCATGGGACCATAATGAAAAGTAAGCAAATTGTCATGTAGAATTTCAGTAGTTTTCGTAGAAGAGCTCTTTCTTGTATACCTAGGCACAAGCTTATGTTTTAGGGTGTCATTCCATTTAACATATGGCTCCATTGTTTAGTTGTTTTGATGAACTGATACTGCCAAAACATGGTTTTGTGATCATGGTTGTACAGGATATCATGTTTTAGGCACAACTGCTATATGGTATTTGATGTCACCATCAGTTGTTAGTTTGTAAAAATCTTCATTTCAACACATTTTTGGGCTTAACATTTTCCACATACCACTAATGTAAATGTGATACTACTGGTAATAGAATCTTTAGTATTATGCCACTGATCCTAGGGTACACTGATGTTCGATTTAACTGTTTGGTTATGATGTTCTGGTGAGAGAATGACTCTAATATAGTTTTGTCATAGGTTATTTCTAATTGGGCTTGATCGATATGGGAAGGGTGACTGGAGAAGCATTTCAAGAAATGTGGTTGTAACAACACCAACCCAAGTAGCTAGCCATGCCCAAAAATACTACCTTCGACAGACCTTGGTGAATAAGGAGAGGAAGAGGTCAAGCATCCATGACATGACCACCACTGCAGATAGCACTACTGTACCTCCTCCAAGCAATTTCCATCATCAAGGACAAGGAGGGTCCTTGGGTTATCAGAACCCCAACTTTCCTACGCAAGGATGAGGAAAATAATAGCTCCACACGCGATACATAGAATGATTACACGAAGTTAGAAATCCATTTTGTAAAATTCTATTCTTTCTTAGCTAGCAGATCTCGGAATCAGAGACTCAAAACAGAGTTTCTTATTTTAAGTTCTTAGACATGTGGGCTGAGGATGAATCTTTTTTGACACTAGTGTCTGATAATTGGGGAGGTTTTTACTCAAAAAATCCCACTGAAAACTTCTTTTTAAAGTTGGAAGTTTCTTAAAGTAAAAATAAGGAAGTGAAATAAAGAGGTTTTTGGGGATATTTTTGAAAAAATCAGAAAACAGGAGTTAGCTATGGAGAATGCTGAGAGATGTGTGGATTCTGAGTATTCTGAAGCTAATGTATTGAACCTGGAAGTTGCTAGGACGAATTTGGAAGATTGTCGAAGGTTGGAGGATCTGTTTTGGAGACAAAAAGCTAACATGAAATGGGCACTTGAGGGTGAGAGGAATACAAAATTTTACCATGCAGTGGCCAAAAGTAAAGCTGTAAGGGGGAAAATTAGAAGGATTAAGAATGAGAAGGGTGATTGGTGTGAATCAAAGAGTGAAATAGCAGACAATGCAGTGTCTTTTTTTGCTAAGTTGTATAGATCAGAGGAACTGTTTAGTGTTATTCCAATGTTGGTTAGTCCCGCAGATAATGAAAGGCGGACAGAAGAAGCTTCTTTGGCAGAGGTAAAGGAGGTGGTTTTTGCTATGTCTGTGGAGAGTGCCCCTGGGGCAGATGGATTTTCTGGAAAAAATTTCCAGGAGGCTTGGGATGTGATAAAAATGGATCTTCTGGAAGCTGTGAATTTCTTTTTGAAAGGAGGAGTGGTGCCCAGATCTGCGAATGCCACTTTATTGGCTTTAATTCCAAAAGTGGGAAATCCAACTTCATTCACAGAGTTTAGGCCAATTAGTTTGTGCAATTTTTTGTACAAAGTATTGACTAAGACTTTGTCCAATCGACTGGCTGTTTTGTTGCTTTCTTTAATTACTGAAGCTCAACATGGATTTGTAAAAGGGAGAGGAATTGGGGATTGTATAGCTCTAGCTCAGTTTATGGTGGGAGAGCTGGACAGAAAAGTAGAGGCAGATAATATGATCCTTAAGCTGGACATGATGAAGGCATACGACAGAATTGAATGGGATTTTTTGTTGAGAGCCTTGAGGAGTTTTGGCTTTTCAGAATTGTTTGTGTCCATTATTGGAAATTGCATGCATTCTCAGTTTGTTTCAGTTTGTGTGAATGGTCAACTGAATGGTTTTTTTCCAACGTCAAGAGGGTTCTTTATCGTGGCAGAGGAGGTTTTGAGTAGAGGTTTGGAGAAATTGTATTTACAGAGTAGTGTGAAGAGCTTTCATGCAGGCAGGGGTGTAGCTCTGATCTCTCATTTGCTTTTTGCAGATGATACTCTTCTATTTTTAAGAGGGAATAAGAAGTCGTTGGAACAGTTGATGGTTTTTTTGGCCAAGTATGAGGGATGTTCTGGGCAGTGGGTGAGTAAGCAGAAAAGTTCGCTAATCTGCTTTTCCAGGATCTCTCAAGCTAGGAGGGTGGTTTTATCTAGGACTGCCCAGATTCCGGTTAAGAATTGCCCCTTTACATATCTGGGTTGTCCATTAATCAGGGCAAGGTGTAGATTGAGAGATTTTGAAGATATTGTGTCAAAGTTTAAAGTTAAATTAGCAGGTTGGTATGCAAAGTTACTATCGCATATGGGCAGATTAGTGCTAGTACAGTCTGTGTTGAATGCCGTACCTGTTCATTTGCTGTCATGCATTAATTTGCCAAAGGGGGATCCTTGTCAAATTAAACTCTTATATGGCATCTTTTGTTTGGTCAGGAAAAGAAGGTAGCAGAAGGAGACAGTGGGTCTCATGGGTAAATATTTCAAGGCCTTTGCAGGAAGGGGGTTTGGGGATTAGAAAATTTGGGGATGTCCAGGTGGCCTTTAGAATGAAGCAGGTGTGGGGAATCCTTCAGGGAAAATCTCTTTGGGCGAAGGTTTTCTCAAAGAAGTTTTTAAAGGGACAACATATGTTGAGAAGTGCAAGTACGGGTAAATCTAAATCTTTTAGAATGCTACAGCCTTTTTTTCTTTCTGTGATTAATAATACACAGCATTGTGGGGAATGGTGAGGCTGTGGATTTCTGGTGTTTGAACTGGTTGGGTACTGGTCCTTTATTGAGTAGAATTGAGGGAGTTCCAGAGANGTATTATGCCACTGATCCTAGGGTACACTGATGTTCGATTTAACTGTTTGGTTATGATGTTCTGGTGAGAGAATGACTCTAATATAGTTTTGTCATAGGTTATTTCTAATTGGGCTTGATCGATATGGGAAGGGTGACTGGAGAAGCATTTCAAGAAATGTGGTTGTAACAACACCAACCCAAGTAGCTAGCCATGCCCAAAAATACTACCTTCGACAGACCTTGGTGAATAAGGAGAGGAAGAGGTCAAGCATCCATGACATGACCACCACTGCAGATAGCACTACTGTACCTCCTCCAAGCAATTTCCATCATCAAGGACAAGGAGGGTCCTTGGGTTATCAGAACCCCAACTTTCCTACGCAAGGATGAGGAAAATAATAGCTCCACACGCGATACATAGAATGATTACACGAAGTTAGAAATCCATTTTGTAAAATTCTATTCTTTCTTAGCTAGCAGTTGATTAGGGGATTAGCAAATGAATTTTATTTTTTTTAACTCGATTAGAAAATAAATTTTATTTTTTTTAACTCGATTAGCAAATGAATTTGAGAGGGTGGGATGTGGTTTTCTCAAGTCCCTTTGTGAACTGAAGGAATATATAAGTGGAGGACATAGATGTCACATGGATATTTTAGGTGTAAACATAACAACAAATGAAATTGATTGATTTTTAGTAGAACTACATTGTTTTGAATGTTCTCTTTGACTTGCCATTGTTGATCTGCAGAGGCGGTAGTGTTATGTTAGTCTTATTTGGTTCATGCGTATGATTGATGAAAGATTGCATATATGATAAAAGCGCTGAATAGTGAGTGGTCAAACAACAGGGTTACTACTTTTTTTGCTAATTTTAGAGAGAGAAGCTCTGATTTCTCTCTAGAATTTCTTCCTTCTATGAGTTCTTCACAAAACACAACCAATATTCCTCCAAAACCTCCAGATTTAACATCTCAACCTATACATCTTCCTCCAAAACAACTAGATTCTTATCCTCCACAACCAAATCAACAACCACAACCACAAGATCCACAATATAAACCACCAAACCCACAGCCTACCTATGCCTCTCTATTCAAGAGAACCTTTGTTTATCAACCTGCAGAAGATGAAGTGCAGAAAATTGAGAAACCAATTGTCTTCTATGAAGGGGAACCAGCATTTTATTTCACCAATGAAGAAATGAAGGAATCATGTCAATCGCTGCAATATACTCTCATTGGGAAGTGTTCTTATGGTCGGCCATCCTTGGGTGCTATTAAAAAAGTTATCAGAAATAAATGGAATTTGAAAGGAGATTTTGAAGTTGGCTCGTTGGATCAGAGACATGTCCTTATCAGATTACAGTTACATGAAGACTAAGTTAAAATATGGCTCAAAGACATCACCCTGATTGAAGACTATCTGTTCAGATTTTTTAGATGGTTCTCAGGCTTTGTTCCTGGTATAGAACCTTCAATTGTGCCTATGTGGGTGTCATTACCAGGGTTACCATTAAATTTCTTCAAGAGACAATATCTGGAGTTATTGGTGAAGCCAATTGGTAGGGTGCTAGCTTATGATCAAGCTATATTATCCTTATCAAGGGCCCCGTAGCAAGAGTATGTGTGGAAGTAAATTTAATAGCAAAGAACCCTTCAAGAATTTGGATAGACATGGGAGATGAAGGAGCTAGATGGCAGAAAATAATCTATGAGAAGACTAAGAAGTTCTGTAACGTTTATCAGAAGCAAGGCCATGCAGACGATGATTGCAGGAAGAAGAAAGCTCAAATTCATAAAGTTGATGCAGAAGGAAAGAATCCAGATTTACAGGGATCCATTTCACAAGTTATGGCTACTGATAAAGGAAAAGCAATTCAGTCATCGCGTATGACCAATCCAGTCAAAGGCAATAGAGGAAAAAATGGAAAGAAGATGTATATGGAATCAGGAAATCAAGCAAATTTGATTTATAAATCTCATAAAGTTTGGAAACAGGGTGATGAAATATCAGTAGTAAATCAGTAAAATCCGGTGGCTCAATCAATGGCGAACGTGGTTTTGGAAATTCCAAGGCATACATGTGATCTTCCTTCTCTGGCAGCAAAAATAATTTTGGAAACGGGTGAACATTCTGGGAAAGACGTGGTATCTCCCAGTCTTGCTGTGCTGGAAGAAAACCAATCTACTCCGTACTTGCCTGCAGAGAATCATCCCACTAATATACATCAAGGCAATCATTCTGCCCCTCAATTGCAGTCAGAAAGTTCTCAATTGCAGTCAGAAGGTCCTCAATTACAGGCAGAAGGTCACCAATTGCAGACAGTAAACCCTCAATTGCATGCAGAAAATCCTCCCTCCAGTATACATCAAGAAATTCATGTTCAGCAAAATCAGGAAGATAATAAGCAATTAGAAGAGGCTGTTCCACGTCAATTTGAAGATGTAGTTCAATATCAGTTAAACAGGCAAGTAACAGATTCACTAGACAATGATAGGGGGCTGCAAAGCACTAAGGAACCACCAGATAAAGGCTTCTCATCAGAAGGGGAGCATACTGGAAGTCCAGAGTGTGTGGATGTTGAGTCTCAAGATTCTGGTGCAGAAGTGAGTTGTGATCTCAATAATATTCCACGATTAGGTGTTGTTACTAGATCTCGTCTAGCAAACCAAACTACTCCAACCAATCCAATGATTAATACAATCACGTGGAATGTAAGGGGTGCAAACCAAGAAGCGTCAAGGCTCAGGTTGTTGAAATTAATTAGAATGCATGATGTCTGCATAGTTTCTATTTTAGAGCCTAAGCTTTTGCCTTCAAGGTTACCCTAGTTATGTAGAAGCATGGGTTTATTGTCCTACTATGCTAGTCCATTAGCTAGAAAATTAATCTGGATTTTTTGAGATCATCAACTGTCAGTTAATATAGTAGCAGTGCATGAACAAGCTCTAACAGTGGAAGTGTCTTTTGTAGGATCTGAACCTTTTCTGATTACTATTGTTTATGTAAAAATGTGATCACATATTGAGAAGGGAGTTGTCGAATCACCTACTTGAGCTACCTGTTAATTTGAAACCATGGATGGTGGTTGGGGATTTTAATACTATAGTTTCATCTATAGAGAGAAAAGGGGGTGCTGTTCCTAGCTTATCAGTTATGAATGAGTTTGTTTCTGTTATTAATTCTCTAGCCTTGCAAGACTTTGGATTTACTGGTACATCTTTCACTTGGTGTAATAACCACCATGGGATGACTAGAATGTGGCAACGACTAGATCAAGCCTTGGTTAGTGTGGAATGGGGAGAAAGATTTGATAATACTACAGTAGAATATGCTGGAAAAGGGCAGTCTGATTAATGTCAATTGGTGGTGAAATTTGCTGAGGATGTTATTAATCCAAGAATTTCATACTTAAAATTTCAGAATATGTGGGTGAAGCACCCTGGTTTTCTACAAGTGGTGAACAGTAGTTGGTCAGGTCAGCACTCTCCAAATCCTAATGAGAATATCTTTTTGAAGTTAAAGTTTCTAAAATTTCACTTGAGAAAATGGAATAAAGAGACTTTTGGGAATGTTTTTGAAAATATTAAAGCTTTGGAGAAGAAACTGGTAACAGCAAAAGAAGCATTTGAGAGAGATGATTCCATGATCAATTCTCAAGCTTTAATAGAGGTAAAAGAAGAATTGGAAAAAGCCCTACACATAGAAGAGATTTTCTGGAGGCAGAGAGCTAATATAAAGTGGGCAATAGATGGAGAGAGAAATACTAAATTATTCCATGCTCTTGCTAAGAGTGAAGCTATAAGGAATAGAGTGACCAGAATTAAAAATTCAGAAAATCAATGAGTGGAAGATGAGCAAGGAATTGCAGAATGTGGAATAGACTTTTTTACTGCCCTGTATACATCGGAACCTCACATGTTGGATGAGGAACTATTTTCTTGCATTCCAAAGCTTGTGACAGATGAGGATAACCAAATGATTACTTCTCCAATCACACTAGAAGAGTTGAAAGAGGTAATTTTTTCAATGTCTATTTATAGTGCTCCTGGACCAGATGGATTCTCTAGGCAATTTTTCCAATCTGCGTGGAATATTACCAAGTCTGATCTGTTGATAGCTACTAATTTGTCATTGAAGGAGGAGAAGTGCCTAGATCTATTAATGCCACCCTATTGGTCTTAATCCCTAAGAAAGATAACCCTACATCCTTTGCAGAATGCAGGCCCATAAGTTTATGTAACTTTCTATATAAGACCTTTACTAAGATTTTATCATCCCAGTTAAATGGTTTGTTGCCAAAGATCATTTTTGATGAACAACAAGGATTTGTGAAAGGGAGAAGTATTGGTGAGATTATAATCCTTGCTCAGCTTACGGTTAATGAAATTGATAGGAAGGTGGAAGCTGACAATTCTATTGTTAAGTTGGACATGATGAAAGCTTTCGACAGACTGGAATGGGATTTTTTAAAAAGCATTCTAAGTTCCTTTGGATTTTTAGAAAGGTTCTTGGGCATTGTTTCTAATTGTCTTCAAAATCAATTTGTCTCTTTGGTTATTAAGGGTGTAAGACATGGGTTTTTCCCCAAGTCTAGGGGACTTAGACAGGGAGATCCATTATCTCCAAGCCTATTTATTATTGCAGAAGAGATCTTGAGTAGAGGCTTGAAATGGATTTTTGAGCAAGGATTGGTGAAATATTACCACACTGGCAAAGGTTCATTTCCCTTATCCCATGTAATACCCCGTTTCAATGTGGCAAGAAACTAGTTAGGGAATATTATCTTGAAAGGAATAAAAAATTTTTAAAGAAGAATTTAGAATAATCTATAATAATTTAGAATATTGGAGAAGTTTCTAGAAAAATCTAGAATAGTCTAGAGGGTTCTAGAAAGTTCAAGAATAACCTAGAATAGTTTAGAACAATCTAGAGAAATCTAGAATATTTTAGAAGGTTCTAAGAAATACTAGGTTTAAGAGGGATTTAGAATGTTTTGGAAGGACTTAGAAGGTTGGAGAAGACTTTAAAATATTATAGATATATCTAGATACTTGTGGCATTGTCATGTATAAAATAAGCTTGAAACCTAGAAGGATCTAGGAGAGGGGAGATGATAGAATATTCTAGGGAATCTCCCTTAAAAATGTCACATGTTAATATTCTCTAGAATAATTCTAGGATGCCTATAAATAGGACATTTGGGGATTGGATTAAGGATACAAGTGCACAAGTAATTTTTCACTTTCAAGAAAGAATAGAGAATAAAAGAGAGAAGAAAGAAGGAAGAACACCTCATCAAAGGAGAAAGAAAATTGTGAGAAAAACAGGAAAAGTATCAATAACATCTCACTCTACTTCGGGTAACAAGCAACACTCAAGAAACATATCATTGTAACTCAATCACTTGTTTATATGGTGAGACTTTGTGATGGTGAATGGGATCATGATTGAAAGTCCAGGGAAATTATTCCTCTGAGTGCGGGTGACCCTAGCCACTAGGGAACAGACTTGGGGGAGACTGAGATGACCCTAGTGCTCAACGGTTGAAGGAACAGAGTCTGGTGCATCCTGGTAACCTTCATCTGATCGTCTTAGGGAATAGTTCCCGGGCGACAACCCGTAGTGACTCTAAATATGATGTTGGATCTAATTCTGAGATATATTCTGACATTTTGTACTAAAAATCCAGGAAAATTATTCCTGTGTGCGGATGGCCTTGGCCACTAGGGAACAGAGCCAAGGGAGGCTAAAATGACCCTAATGCTCAACGGTTGAAGGAACAATTCCTGGTGCGTCCTAGTGACCTTCACCGGATCGTCTTAGGGAACAGCTCTCAGGTGGCAACCCGTGGTGACCCTAAGTACGGTGTTGGATCCAACCTTGAGATCTTTTGGCATTGGTATGGTTCCTAAATATTGTACAAGTTCTTACCGGTATGAGATGATGATATAATTTGTTATTGTCACAACATTTTTACTGGCTTTGTTTATGATTATCTATCGTATGCCATACGTATTTTCTTGTTATCAGTTATTGTATTTGGTATTTGGTTCTCATCGATTATTGAATATCGTACAGTCTCCACCATTATGATATGATTCACCATTGTGGTATGATTTTTTGTTGGAATCCAATTGTGTTATTCTTGAGAAATTGGTTATCTTGATGAAGTTATTTTTCCAAACCATTGATTTACATGTCATATGCCAAATATATTTTTCAGCCACTTTAAATATGCATGCCTTTCCATTCGTCGGGCTTTTTAGCTCATGTTTTAAAAATAATATTTTTTTTTAAGTAAACGATTGGAGTGTCAATAGCGGACTCGAGTAATTGATTGGAGACTAATAGTGTTGTGACCTCTGTAACATATGTCGTATAGCCCTCTTTACTTGTTTGGATAATTGGGACAACAGGTTTAGGTATGTTGACTTTGACATATTACCATGAGATCAATTTAGTGTTAATGTTATTTTTTACTCCTATATTATTAGTTTATTGTTAGACTTACGTGTTTCATAGGTTATGGATCTATGGTTCACGGCCGGTCATGCCCTTGGAGTTGGGGTGTGATATCCCATCTATTATTTGCAGATGACACACTCATCTTTTTGAAGGGGCACAAGAAGTCTATGATCAATCTCTTGAAGTTTGTGAAGAGATATGAAGCCTCAACAGTGCACTTGGTGAACAAACATAAGAGTTCTTTGTTTTGTTCAAATAAAATCTATCTCCATAGAAGGAATCAATTATCATAGGCAGCATTGATCCCTCTTAAGGCATTCCCTTTCACTTATTTGGGTTGTTCAATTATAAGAGGAAGGGTCAAACTAATCTACTATGAGGAGCTACTCTGAAAAGGTCAGGGCAAGTTGGAAGGTTCGTCTGGGAAGATGCTTTCTAATGCTGGAAGAATAGTTTTGATTCAGTCAGTCTTGAATTCAATGCCTATTCATTTAATGGCTTCATTGAATCTGATCAAGGGAATTATGGCTAAGCTTACTTCAACAATAGCTGGCTTCTTTTGGTCTGGTAAGCAGAATATCAAAATAAGACACTGGTGTTCTTGGAAGACTATCACTATGCCCTAAGAAGAGGGAGGTTTGGGAATAAGAAAGTTTGAAGATGTGCAGGCCGCCTTCAGAATGAAACAGATCTGGCACTTGATGAAGAATACTTCTCTACGGTCAAAGGTTTTTTCTTGGAAATTTCTGGGGAATAGACACCTATTGACCACACAGACTCCTATGCCTTTTAAAGGATTCAGAGAATTAGCTCCCTGGATTGAACTGGTGGTTACTAATACACTAATGTTGGTAGGTTCAGGAGAGACAGTGGATTTCTGGTGCGACAACTGGACTGGGTTGGGTCCATTAATCCTTAGGAATTCTGTCAGGCCATCAATTTTTCTAAGCTGGCACAATTACAGGTAGATGGTCATTGGGAGCTGGAAGAGGTCCAACCCATATTGGATTCTCATTTGCTCCAAGATGTTTCTGCTATTCAAGTGCAGTTAAACTCAAGACAGGATAGACTTATTTGGAAACATTCCTTTTTAGGACATTTTACTGTGAAATCTGCTTGACCGATTGTAAGGACTGAAGGCAATTTCAGTTATCCAGCTGCTACTGTTTGGAGACAAACAGTGCCTCCAAGTGCTCAACTAGTGGGATGGAAAATTCTACAACACTCTCTACCTATGGATGCTACTTTCTAGCATAGAGGGGTAGCTTTAGCCAGTAAATGTGTTCTCTGCAACCAGGATTGTGAAACTTTTGCTCATGTTTTTATCCAATGTAAATTTTCTACTTCTATATAGGGTGCTCTCTCTGCACAACTGGGCTTTCAGTTAATTGCACAGGAGGAACCCTTTACAAGATTCATGAGGTCAGTGAGAGTGTTTAAGCGGTCTACAGTTAGTCATTCTTTACGAAGAGGTGTAGCTCTATTGGTCTTCTGGCAGATATGGAAGGAGAGATGCAGGAGGT